TGTATGTATGTATGTATGTATGTATGTATGCATGTATGTATGTATGTATGTATGTATGTATGTAGGTATGCATGTATGTATGTATGTATGTATCTATGTATGTATGTATGTATGTATGTATGTATGATATAGTTCGTTAGTATATTGCTTCGCATGATAGTGTCCGGAATCAAACATATCATTTGACGTGAATCTCATTAGCTGCCAATTCCCTTGAGCAAGGAATTCGTCTTCTGCTTTGGTGCTGTCAGCCACAAAATTGGTTGCAGTTCGTTGACCTGCAAATGATAGTGGCAATATGACATTTTGGTGTAATCATTCCAAAGCGTAAGAGACATATGCTAGGTTGCATTATGCTCCCACTTTACGGCAGCCATTCGTGTTTATTTATCCAATGGGTGACTGAAAATTAACATATGGTGTGAACGTACAATCAGATTTAATACATGGTAGTTGATTATGCCTGCGATATTCAGCACGAAATGTAACCCGGATTCCGATTACGAATGTTTACACTTCCTTAGAAATAGATTCTTTTCTCTGACGTTGCGCTGCATCATCATTGTACGATGACACTGCAGTAATGAAATGAGCCTTGAACTCATTGGGTTCCGAATTTGATTCCGTAGATGAGACAATCTTTGTCTCAACCGCAAATTCTTTTGAGCAATGAATTTTTAACATTTGCTCTGGTGCAACTAGCCGATAAAAGGTTAGAATGTCGCTGACTTTCGAACAACAGTGGGAACATATTGCACTGGTGAAGTTACAATAGAACGGGGGAGACATACGATTATACTGTCTTATGCATGCGCTTGTTAGAGCTATAATTTGTCTTCAGTCCCATGGTAGCTGTCTATTCAATGTGCTAATCATTAGAAGGTTGTCCAGTACTAACGTAGTAGTCCACGCGGGCGCATTTTACGGAGTGCAGTAAAGAGCACTAACAAGAGATTTGAGAATCTCCTTATTTTTAAGCATAAAAGATTAACTAAAAGATTTACTCTATTAGTATTATTATGACGTGCGTTATGAATAAACTTCAAACGAATATTTGCTTCAAGTGCAATGCTCCATTATAATGAAGTAGCGCATAGTTTTCTTGCTGCATAATTGAACCTGCAGTTCTGCATACCATCAGTAAATTCTTGCAATCCCGGGAACATTGTTATGCTGAGGAAAGCTTATCGGAAAAGGAGATCGTCCGATGAGACTGATGACAGGAATGAAGACGAAGATGAAAACGAATTAAAGTGATAATTAATTTGCTTATTTGATAAACTGTTAAACAGTTTTTAGTGTTCGTATCGAGGATGTAAAGGAAATTCAAAATCTTCGTAAAAAGCCGTGTGGCTTGAGGTAATCAAAAATTGTTTTGAAGTTATACCGTGTTTGACGTAGTTGTGAAAGGAGTTCACATGATATCAGAGTCATTCGCATAGAAGAGGGTAGGAAGTAGCAAAAATGTAATAGATACACAGCTGGGATATCTCAGTATATGAGAAGAGCACTGTTGTTACAACTTTGCACCTGCGAAAGTCACATATGTTTAAATTCGACAGAAAGTTCCATGAACTGCATGGAATAACAACAGAAATATGGCAAGCAAAATTAGGAATGTAGAACTGTTTTTACTTCGGTCACGGTTGGGTACTGTAGTATAGGCTTGTTAGGATCTTTAAAAATGGTTGCCAAGGATGTGGCGACAGATCTGCTCTACAGTTCGTTCTGCATACATATCTTAATCAGCAAATGTATAAGTACCATATCATTTTGAAACCTATTGTCAGACGGCCTAGAGGTACACCAGGAGAGGTCTACATGCATAAAATGGTTGCTGCTGCTGAAGATGTGTGAGCACAGTTGTATACTGCTTGTTCAGTGATTAGCAAATAAGATCGTTATCGGCCTTGTCACTTGGTCCTGATGACAATTGCCAGATTTGTTTCATTGCTGTAAAGTAGCACCAAAGAACGTCGAGGAAGACACCAGCTGACGTGCATGTGTAAAGTGATAAAATGCATTCAAATACATATGTTCTGACATCATGACTGTCTGCGCTAATGTGTTTTGGTCTGTTGGCGAGAAAGGTAGCTGAAAAGAAGACAGTTTTTGGTTCGGTGATTTATTTATGGTTTGTATTTCAGCGTTATGGAATTAGCGTTGGGCAAAGAAATCCCAAAAGAAGTAGAGATGCTCTCGGTAAGCA